ATACATAATAAAAACAAATAAAATGCATTTTAAAGACCCTAAAAATCCATCGAAAGCTCTTTCACTTGCAGCGAGTGGCAGGGTTCACACTTAACACAAACAATTGTGTAGCAGCTTTCCCATACACTAATGGCAAACCTGCCGGGGGAAGAAATCAGAGACACAATCTCATTCGCAGTTGCCTCAAAACAAACGCATACAAATGTAAGTTACCATAACCCTAACCATAGATGCGAAAGAGTGAAGAAATAAATCAAGACAATGGATCTACCTCCCAAAAAAGGTGGGCAGCTGGGTGAGAGACCCATTCCCTTCACTCTGTCACAAGGCCAAAATCTCTTAAAAGCCAGCACTCTTTGTGTGACCACTAGGAAAAAGAATCTTCCCACAGAATGTGATGGTAAGATTCCACTGAAGTGATTCATGGAAGTAGCTTCAGCACTGTCTCTTTTTTGGGTACTCTTCACTGAGATTTCCCCCAGCGATCATTTTTTTGCTAGAAGAAGACACTAGATTAAATGCAGAATATTAGCAAAGGAAATTGTCCTGAAATTAGCAACTATACTGTAATCATATCAGAGAATAACATTAGAAATGAAAGATAGAGGCTGACGTTTTTAGGAATAAAAGCTCAAGCTGTCTGGTACTTCCTGTCAAATGATTCATAAAGAAGCATATAAATCTCTGTGTGTCTATATATGTACACATAAGTATTTATACCTATATATATATGTATATGTTTACATAAATATTAAAAAATGAAAAGGAACTAAGTGGTGCTTGTTCATACCTTTATTCCCAGGATTAAGGAGACAGAGACAGGCAAATCTCTGAGTTCAAGGCCAGCCTGGTCTACAGAGCAAGTTTCAAGATGGCCAGGGCTACATAGAGAAACCCTGTCTTGAAAAAACAAACTAGGTAAGTAAAACATGAAAAGGTGGACAATAAAAGATGGTGATTGCAGAACTGATGTGTGGAAGGAAAAGATGACCAGACTTACATCAACCAGCCTTTAGTAAAAGATGAGCATCACCCCATGGGAAAACATGACATCACGCAATCCTCTGAAGGCAATGCATCTGAGGAACACAGCCATCGTTCGTAAGTTGTTCCACTCAAAACTGTTTACTATGTACAAGGAACAATAAAAAAGTCCAGTCCTGAGGGACACTCTAAGACCACCAGTCCTACAACTACAAGTGTCAGAAGTGTCAGTCCTAACGGACAGAAAGGCTGACTCACAATAAAGGAAATAAAGATACTAACACAATGCCATGATCTTGGATGAGGGAAATTCTTATGTCATGATGTTCTATGAGAAATGTCCTTCCCGGGGCCATGCATCTGAGCACTGTGCCCCCGGTTGGTAGCACTGCCTGGGATTAGGACCTTTGGGGAGGTGCAGGGTCACTGGAGGAAATGTGTCATTGGGATGTGCTTTGAGTTACAGCCTCACCCCCACTTCCATTTTACCTCTGCTTACTGCATGTAGAAGGTGGTCAGATCCAATTCCTGCTCAGGGCACATGCGGCCAGCATGGACTCCCCTCATAAGTTGCTTCTGATCATAGCACTCTAGCACAGCAACAAAAAGTAACTAAAACAAGTGTCTATGGTCTCACTAAGTGAAAGCATAGTAATTAAAATATACCATTTAAAACATAATAATTAAAATAATCACAGGCAAAAAACAACTAACACTAAGATTAAGTGGCAAATGTCATAACATTTAAAAGAGTAAAATGTGTAAATGTGGTAAATGTTAGTCATTTATGAACAGAAGTGGAAGGCACACAGGACAAAGCTTTTCCCGCACTTAAAACTGCCACGACCTCCCCACCTCAACCCCTACTACTCCTCAGTTTGCATCTTTATATCCCCATAGCATTTATTGATCTAAAATACTTCTGTCTTGAGTAGTAGCTGCTTTTTTTTCCACAATATTAACTTTGTAGCATCAGTGTCTTATTGCTGTGAAGAGACACCATGACCCCTGCCATTCTTATAAACAAAAACATTTAATTGAGGTGGCCTACAGTTTCAGAGGTTTAGTCTATTATTGTCATGGCAGAAACATGGTGGCATGCAGGCAGACTTAGTGCTGTAGAAGGAGCTGAGAGCTCTACATTATCCACAGGCAGCAGGAGAGAGACTAAACTACACTGGGCCTCAAACCCATCCCACGGTGACACATGTCCTCCAACAAGGCCATACCTCCATACCTCCTAACAGTGCTATTCCCTATGGGCCAAGCAATCAAAACACACGAGTCTATGGGCACCAAACCAATTCAAACTACTGCACTTAGGGACTTCACAAAGTGTTGCATTCCCAATGTTTATAATAACAAACACAATAAAAACTCAACAAATGTTTTTAACAATACATAAGTTGCCAAAATTTTTCTCCATTCAAAATTATCTATGTACTAGTTTAAATATGCAAACCTTCCAACTCTCCATGCAAAGGCAAGGCTGTTAGAATTTGAGTATGAGATGTCTCATGGATTTATGCACTGAACACCTGACCTCCAATATGTTACACTGCTTTTGGAAGGTGCTAGAGACTTTAGGATCTGTGGCCACGAGGAAATAAGTCACTGGGGACATGATCTGACGGTCCCTTTCTCTCTGCGTCCTGTCTATCACGAGCTAATCGCAGCTGCCATACGCTCTCCCTGTCCGGATGCTAACCCTCACGTGTACCCTGAAGCAATGGAGCAAGAAAAAAAATGACTGAATTAGACTGGAAACCATGAGTCAAAGTAAGTTCATATCGCCCTTGCTTTTCCTGGGATATATGTGACAGCAACAAGGAAAATAAGGGAACTGCACACTACCCTTTGATGTGAGGCTATAGGCATCCTAATTTTTAGGTGTTCAAATAATCTTCCTTCTTCTTTCTTTATAATCTATTCTTCTAAATCTCATTTTACATGCCAAGCACAGTTCTCCCTCATGCCCCCTTCCTCCCCTCCCCTCCCATCCCCAGTCCACTCCTCCTCATGGGTAAGAGCTCCCACGTAAGTCAACCACGTCTGGCACATTAGGTTGGGGCAGGGCCGAGCCCCTCCCCCACGCATTAAGGCTGAGCATGGCCTCCCACCATAGGGAATGGGCTCCAGCTAGCTAGCTCATGGACCAGGTTTGTATCACGGCCCTTGTGCCAGAGGCCCTTCAGGTAGTCCAAGCTTCACATCTGTCTCCACATACAGAGTCTAGTTCGGTGCCCTGGAATCTCCACAGCTGTCAGTCTAGAGTTTATGAGTTTGTACGAGCTTCGTTCAGCTGTCTCTGTAGATTTCTCCATCATGATCTTTACCTCCCTTGCTCATAACTAGAAAGACAAACATGGTATGAATTCACTCATAAGTAGATATTAGCTGTAAAGCAAAGGATAATCAAACTAGAACCCACAACTCCAGAGAAGTTAGATAACAAGGAGAACCCGAAGAGGAACACATGGATTGCCCTGGGAAGGGAAACTGGAGGGAGGGAGGTAGTAATGGGGAGGGAAGGGGATGAGAACCTAATTTTCACCTTTCAAGAACGGTCACATTATGTACCACCTGGTTTTTTTCCCACCTTTTCCTAAATGGTTTTTATTTTCTGTTAATGTCTAATACTTTATGAAAATTTATTGTTCTGTGAAATCTAGATGTCTGGAAACTAACTACTAATCTGTAAGATTACAGTCATTCCTAAAAATGTCATTTCACTATTCATCCAAGGTACTGAAGCCAATCTACTCTTCCACAGTCAAGCCAGTATCTTGATCTCCCTGAACCTACTTCAGAACTAATAATTCCCTCCTCTAAACCCTCCCTTTCTTGTATCCCTTCCCTAAATCTTCCTCTCTTTCTGTCTAGGTTTTATCTAAACACAGGAAGTCTTTCTTTATCACCCTAGCTTACATTTACCCCACAACCATCTCTAGTGCAAGGTCAGTGGGCCCAAGCTACCTCCAAAAGAAACACTATATAAGATTTTTTTCTAAAAGGTAGCTTCTAGCAAGCTAGTGAAGATTGGAATAGGACAAGACTTTGGTTTTTATTTTGCTTTTTGTTTGGTTGGTCAGTTGGTAGAGCTGAAGAATGAAATTAGCACCTCCCATGTACTAAGGAAGAATTCTATCACTGAGCTTTCTCCGGCTCTTTTTTACATGTTATTCTGAGATAGACTCACAAAGGCCCAAGTCACGGTCTGGCCTTGAACTCACTGTTTAATACAGATAAGCCTTGAACTTCTGACCCTCTTGTCCGTCTTCAGAGTAACTGGGTTTACAGGCCTGTGCCATCAAGTTCCAAAGGGCTAGTATTTTTTTTAAGACTTCCCAAATGATTCTGATGCATACATGGATTGTTTGTTCGGTTTTTTTTTTTTTTTTTTTTTTTTTTTGACACAGGGTTTCTGTATGTAGCCCTGGCAGTCTTACACCTCACTCCATAAACCATGATGGCCTTAAACTCAGAGATCTGCCTGGCTCTGAGTGCTGGGACTAAAGGTGTGCACCACCACTGCCCAGCCATAAACTGATTAAGAATACATAGCATATACAACAGTGCTGAAACTAGACACAAAATGCATTATACTGAATAAAAATATATGTGCTCCTCTAGAGCTTCTTTTAGGGGACAAAGGAAGAATTACTAAATAGAAGAGTGAGTGTGTGTGTGTGTGTGTGTGTGTGCGTGTGTGTGTGTGTGTGACCATAAGAGTTGCAGATTTTATCTTTATGGTTTTTTACTAAATATCAAATGTACACATTCCATGTTCAAATTACACACAAAATCATTTAGTAAATCATTTCAGATACACTACTTTGTTTTCAAAGTTCCAGAAGCAACATCTGACACAGGTAAGCAGGAGTATTTCTGAAGCAGCCTATTATAGGAGGGCAAATATTGCAAAGACAATGATGTACTGAATCTCAAGCTTATTACAAAAAGGCAGCAAGTGAAATTGAGTTTTAAAGACGTTAAACTAAATATAGTTTACTAACCTGCTTGTTGTTTTCGGCCATGGAAAGCTGCAGTGCCAAGAGCATGGCATCTGGACCACACAAAGTCGTTCTTTCAGAGTTACAGAGGGCACGCCAATTCCTCCTGAACTCTTTAATCATACCCAAGACAGACGTCTGACTGTGCACAGCCATGCTTCTAAAATAGAACAGAATACAATGTTAAAGTGACTTGTTTTAATTGGAAATTAACATTTAACATGTGTAAGCAAGCATGGTTAGAAAGAAAAAATAAGTAGTGAACAAGAGGTCATTTCATATTTACCAAGATTGCTTTTAATTAAATTTAGGAAAACAGAATAATACAATTTCTGCCCAATCATATTTTCCTCTACTTAAAGTTTTCTTAAACCACATCTTTTGAAATAACAAAAATCCAACTTTCAAATTTGAATTCACATAAAACAGACTTGCAAATTCTGCAAATTTATAATTATAGACACACATCACTAATTAAATCTGTATTTTTAAGATAGTTTTTTTTTTTGAGAAAAATAGTACTATAAGTGGACAACTGGGGGAGGGGCAGAGGGGGTTATCTCATATTGTCCCAAAAGTACTTTACTTTTCTACCCATTTGAATCTGAAACAGTCTTATGACTTGATTTGACTAGAAGACTATGAGATAAAGAGAATTATAAGCCTAAGCCTTAAGAGGTTTGTGCATGAGTTAACAGAGCAAGGCTCTAGAGATGGAAACTTCCAGTACTTTCCATTAGTGTATTTCACTGTGCTGAAGTGTTTTTATAAACTATATATATGTTTCAAGGTGAACACCTAATGTCCTTCTGAGTCTGGAGGTTTTGGTGCATGTTGGACAGGGCATGAGTAGGAGCCCCTGTCCTCATGATTGTAGAGCAGGTGCTTCACCCACCCCACACCTCACCCCCATACCTCACCCCACCCCCGCCCCGCCCCATCCTTATCCATTCCTGGATGGGTGTGTACATCATCACACAAACATGGCTGTGAATACTACAGCAATACACATGTAGGTATCTCAGACCTCTCCAATTTAAGAGAGGCATATGTCACTTGTGAAATAATAAATTATAATGTGAGATGCGATTTAAACAGGAAGAAGATGACCATAATCAGTAGCCTTCATTGCCGAGTTTTCTTTATCTTAAAAAAAAATAACACACTTATCCCTAAAAAAAAAAAAAAAACAAAACGTGAGAGTAAGAGAGGCATGAGCTATCATCATCAGAGATTCGATTAGTCCGCCCGAACTGAATTTTAGGTGAAGACTACCTATTGGTATTATTTTAAGGTACTATATGCTTAGATTTCTGGAAATAAAAATTCATTCAGAATTAGAGCACCGTGAATCCCTGGGTCGATCACTCGCTGCGCTATGAGATCTCGACCAAGTTAAATCCCTGCAGCCTGCCTGGACCTCCCTGTAGTGAAAATGAAGAAAGTGTGTATCTCATCTAGTTCTGGGGAGAGTAAGACTGCACATGACAATCTTATAGCAATGGCAATACGACATTCTTATAGCACCTTAGCTATGCCCAAGTCTCATCCAAGAGCCTGCAACCCTGTGCGAGGAGGCAAAGACCAAGTATCCGAGACGCTCGGCGCAGCCGGGAACGACGCACAAACAGGTCAACCCCGCTCGTCCCCACTAAGCTCGGTCTTGTTTCATCTTTGGACAGCAAAGCCTGGTTATTTTCCTTGCCGCCCTCCCCTGCGGCCTCGGCTCTCACCTCCCAGCCTGTGGCGAAGGCGAGGGTCACCGCGGACGGACGGCGGGTGAGCCCGTGAGCCGGACGAGCGAGCCCCGGGGCAGCCGCAGCTCAGCGCCGATGCCGGACGCCCGACGCTCGCGCGTCCGTTTCAAATCTCGCGGCAGGACCCGGGAGCCAATCGCCGCGCTCGCCCTCCGACCCGGAAGCAGAGCCGGCGAGCGCCGCGGGGCCGCCCGCGGCCGGAAGAGCTGCGTCCAGGTCGCCTCGCCCGCTGCCTTGGGTGCGTACGGAGTGCGGGCCTGGGGCCGCCAGCTTGCGCCGCTGCCCCCGGGACCCTTCCGTGTGGCTTGGCGGGGTGGGAGTGGGTAGTCCCCCGAGGGAGGCCCTGGCACTGTGCACGCCGGGCTCCGATGACCTGCAGGAGACGGGCTTGCCATCGCACCCGGCCCCCGGTCCTTTGCACGCCGCAGGCCTCTGCTCGGCGGACCCCTCGCCTGCTGCTCACGCCAGCACGGGGCCAGGGTGCAAGGCTCACTTATTGAGGTTGTTACTGTGATACTCAAGAGGTGTTTGATGTGTTCGTTTTCATTAACGAATTGCAAATTACCCCGTGGTGGGAATGCACACAACCTATCTTATCCCGCTACAAACAGGCCGAGGCTTGTATCACACATCACTCCAGATCCAGTATTTTGCATCTGCTCCTTTTATTGCATGGGTTAGCGCCGATTCGGAACGATCCCTGGATCATCCTATCCCTCAAGGGTCTCGGACTCCCTGTCCCTTTACGCAGGAGTAGGAGTTTCCAGCTCATCTCACACTCGATGGGGATTTGGCTGGAGTGTCAGATACTAGAATATTAGAAGTCATGTAATTAAAACAATATGGCATAGTCTTGACAAAGGCAAGTGTATGTATCTATGCCTTCGCTAGCGTTTGGGCCCAATCCATACTAAGTCTTTTACATTCTTTCCCCATTTATTCACTTGGCAAATTTCTTGGGCAAAATGGGGACTATTGGTACTGTTATGGAACTGGTAGATCCGATAATGTCAGTAAAATGCAAACCATGCCAACTGCAGACAGTGCTGTATCTCTTTTACTTAATAATCTTACAAATCTGTTAAACATTATTCAGCCTTCAAGTGTTAAATATATAAATACAACCTATGTGTTAGTGAATATAAGCAGAATTCTCTTTTGAGCTACCTCAGATACTGCAGTACCTAGCCTTATTTTGAGTCTTCTCTTGAATGGCTAACAGTTTTCAATTTTGTTTGTGATCCACAGTTTCGTGACGGCCAAAAGAGGGCTATTTGGTTCCTAGAACTGCTCAAGTTTTGAGATACAAGATGAAGCAAGATGCTACAAGAAATGCTGCCTACACTGTGGATTGTGAAGATTATGTACATGTGGTAGAATTTAATCCCTTTGAGAGTGGGGATTCAGGAAATCTAATTGCATATGGTGGCAGTAATTACGTGGTTATTGGCATGTGTACGTTTCAGGTTAGTCCACAAACTGCACAGAATGATGGTGACAATATTTTATCAATAACAACATTATACAAACCAGAGCTAAACTTTTAAAAGTATGTTGTGCTTAAAAAAAAAAAAAAAAGGCTTGATCCATAGAGAAAAACTTTCCCAGGAGTAACAATTAATAGTTGTATAAACATTAAATAGGTGATGGAAATGAAAAATATGAAGCTCTTTTTTCCCCTAATGATTAGGAGTGAAATATTCTTACAAAGGCTGAAAATACACACTTGTGTTTACATGTACTAGAAAGTCCAATTAAATGCAATCCAGATCAAATTTATGTACTATGTTATAGGAAACAGGGTAATGTTGAAATTCTAAAAAATTCTTCCAAAGAATTTTAGCTTTTGTAATACAGCTTTCCTATTAATTTGCTTTCACAGTTCCTATATCTACAGCATATATGTAGAATAGCAAAGTATAGAATTATATTTACAGCAGGCAGTTTATAGCTCTCTGAATTCTGGAGCCACAGTGCCTGGACATTTACTTTTGAATGGCTGTCCTTGATTAGCGTTATACCTTCCTTACATAATTAACCTCTCTTAACTGTGAGGGATGTGATGTTCAATACAGTTTGTAAGACATAGTGTGTGAGTATAAAGTTCCCAGAATGCATTTGACATTGTAGCCCATGTGTGTATTTAGTTGTGGTTGATATGGGCAATAATGACAGTCACACTCTCATATTTAATCATCAAAGAAAAATTGCTCCCAAGAGGCCTGCACCATGTTTTCTCACAGGAAACCTAGGTTATATGTAGGAGAGGCTTAGCAGGAAAGATTCAACCCTCTGGAGTTTCTGCAATTCTTTGTTTACCAAAATAATACTTAAGAACTATATTTCTGTGACACCTGACCTAAGTTCAGCTGGACTATCAGAATCTCAAGTCATGTGACTCAGACAAACAGTGTAGCCATTGTCTTAAGAAAGGCTTATTAGGAACTGTTCACCAGTGGGGGCCACTAATGTACAGAAAAGTCAGGCAACCCATGTGGGAGGATTGAGTTTTCCATGATTACTGTCATTGCTTTCTAAATTAACGGATGTGGACAGAGAACTGTGTTTCCAAACGCTGATAAATATATCTAGTTTGAGTGCAATTAGGGAATACTAGGGGGAGAATTAGGGGAAGGAAAATGACAAACTGAGGAAGGGTCTTATTCTGTTCTTAACGTTAGAGATAGAGTTAAATACTGACTACCCCTTTCCTCATGGAGTGTCCATTCTATTTCAAAAATGTTAGGGGATTGCATGACCGAGAAATGAGAACAAGAATTAGACTTCATTCTAAACCCTGTTCTTCTGTCGAACCCATTATGTTTCGGTTCAAAATAAGTCAATAATATAAATATTCTGAAGAATTTATTTTCATTAGTCTGCCCTTGGAGACCCAAAACAAATTACTGTTCTCGTTCATCTACTCAAATTCTGTTGGATGTTCCCATTCTTTCAACTTAGAACCTTCAAGCCTCATATCATCCAATTTCATATCTTATAAGAAACTATTTGCATAAATTGAACCCATTTTCCTGTGCATATCAGAAAAGAACGGTCTTCATGGTTTCAACAGAACAGTTTCCCCCGCTCATGCTGTCCTTTTAAGTATCCAGAAATATGAGTAGAAATGGTAGACAATGGTAGACTTCTTGATTGTTACACCTTTGTCCAAAAGTCATGAGTATACTAAGGGCCAGAAAATTTGAAAATAAAAAGCTGGTAAAGACCCTTTCCCCAAATAGATCCCTGAAGCAGTACCCTCTGGTAAAAGCCTCTTTATAAAAGACCAATAAAGATGAAGTTTCACAGCTTGTCCACTCGAGTCTCTAGTTGGACTTGAATGAGAACGTTGCTTTAGGTAAGTACATTACTTTTGTGGAGAAAATGAAACAGAAAGATACCTTAATCCTTTGGATAACCAACCTCATTTAGCAAGTATTTATTGGTTCCATTTATGTGCCAAACTCTACGTTCAGATCCAGACATTATTTAATAGATTGGACCAAGCCAAACAAGCAAAACTTTAATAAAGATGACTAAGTCTTAAGACAATAGACTTAGAACTGGGAAGGGCAGATTATGACTTAGAAATTTTAGTCACCTGAATATTAACCTGAGTCAACCAATAGGGAGCCAAACAGAGCTAGTTAAATACTGTCCAGTTAAGAGTATAATATGAGCCACAAATACAAGTTTAGATGCCATGGTAACAACATAAAAGTAGGACCATTAGACAGTCCAGTTGGTAAAGCATTTCTTGCCAAGCCTTGGGACCTAATTACAATCCCTGAAGTCCACATGGTGGGAAAAACAAGGCCCAACTCCGAAAAGTTGTCCTCTGCCTTCAGCATGTGAACTATAGCCCGTGTACATACACATGCACTCACATACAATAAAAATAAAAGGTAGAATTAATTTCAAACAAGTACTTTAACTTCATATATGTCAACATAAACATTATTAATTTATAGTTGATATGTTAATAGAGACCTTTGTGTATATTCTATGCCTTATGAAGTAAGGCTGCATTCCAAATATCTTAGGTTCTATATGGGTACTGGCTACCTTTTCAGATAGCACAGTTCTTTATAAATTGATTATGCTTTATATAATAATCCTTATTTCTCAGATTGTACTCTGATTAAAAGGAGATAGTATATTTGACAACAAATTTCAGAGCCTCATTAAAACTGTTTAAAACTCATATGGGAGAGGTATTAGACCAGCAAAATTTGACTTATCACTTCCATTTGTTTGCAGTTGTTGCTTCAAGACTGGTGCTAAATATGCTCTGAATGTGTTTACCTAATAGAGATGGCTATAGCAAGGCTTGCCATCATGCAATTAAGCTTATTCTCTACACTTCCAGAGACAGAACTAGGGCATCAAGTAGAATTTACATGGAGACACTCTGGATTAATGTTAAGAACACTAGTAGCCCTATCTACTACTTAATCTGCTTCTCCCTTCTTTTTCATTGGAAGTGTTCAGAGAGCTTTCTTTTTTAGTATTTTTTCAGATGTTTGAATATAAAGGTAAGAGTTTCATTAGATAAATCAGCCTCAATTTACTGAAATTCTGTATGTGGCTCTAAATGGGTGTGGTAGAAAGGCCTACTACCACTTTCAAATCCTTTAATAACTCTTCCACAAACTGGGCTGTTCCTCAACCTCAAATTGCTGGAGCCTTGTATAATCATTTCTATTACAGCAAGTTTCCAAAGTCTCTTAATTTCCTGCCTATACAATACTGCCTACACCCTGAACGGGACCAAAAATAGCATTCATCTCTGTCTATACCACACACACACTGCTCTTTTCATTAGCTGGCTCAGTAACACATGGTAATACCAGGGGCAGGGCAAGGCTTCCTGCTAATACATAGAGCTTAGTCTGTGCAGTTCCTGTGATTTCATTATCCCTCTGACCACTCAATAATCCCATGACCAATGTCAGTAACAAATACAGGACCCGCTTTTCATCACTCTGGCTGCAGTAGCACAATAATGTGTTTTTATATAAAAATTCATCTTTAGATTTATAAAGTGTGGGGAAAATAGCACTAAGTCAGACTGAACTCAGCTGTGATTAAGCTCTTAGACTCCATTTGCAACTGCTCAGTGGCTGCTGCCTTGGCATATCCGGTAGCTAGACAGCTGTAATGTACACAGATTATAAAGGAATAAAGTTTGTCAATTTTTTTTCTTTTCTGACTAAGTGTATTTCTAATCACTTCTTTGATTAATGGAAAAGCTCTTTTTGTTAACTTAAGTTTGCCTGAAATTTAAAGTTATTTTCAAGTGGTGTTTGAATTTGTAATGACATGGGTAGGATGCTTATGAAATGTCTTTGCTAGGACCTCAAAAGCTGAGTACATCTACTGGGATTCAGCACAGGTAGATATGAGAGTATACTGGGAAATGTGTAAAGAAATGCATAAAATAGACCCTTGTAAGTCTAAGAATCAGGAGATTAGAATTATTTTGGAAGATGGCTAAGTGTCTTCCCTCACTGCCTTTCTTTCTTGGAATTTTTGTAGCTAATTCCCAATTTTTCTATGTAGTGTTACCACCATGCACCAGTACCCTAAATCAGTATACCTTTATTTATATTCCCTGTTCCCGGGCTCTAATAGGACAGGTAAGTTACATACTGTGAAAATAACACTGATTTGGAAGCATGAGTTGTCATTCAAAGGATTTTCCACGTACTTAAAACTTCAGTACATGTTCAGTTATCTATCAGTTGATAATCTATGTATAACTCGTTTATCTAGATTTTGATTTTTTTCATTGTTATGCAGTATATTTCCTGTTAAAAGCAAAATGTCTCCTAGGTGAAGTATAACATGTTCACGGTTTTGTTTTGCCTAAGAGATATTTTGTCTTTCTTTGTAACTGAGGCTTGACAACGTTTTTGTTTGTTATTTACATTTCTTTTGCCCTTCCCTCAGGGTGCTGGGATCAAACCTAGCACCTTGTACATGTTAGACGAAACTAAAGCCACATCTCAAGCCCCAGATACTCTTTTTTAATTCTATAAATGAGTATGATCTCGGTATCTAGGGTTTTTTTTTTTTATACTCTTCAAAAGCATATGCATGCCTCATGATAAATTATTGGTTAAGATGAAATTCAAAGTATTTTATTGTTTTCATAACATCAAAACATTTACTGTATACATTTAGGAGGAAGAAGCAGACATTGAAGGAATTCAGTACAAAACACTGCGGACATTTCACCATGGAGTACGAGTTGATGGCATAGCGTGGAGCCCAGAAACCAAACTCGATTCACTGCCTCCAGTAGTCAGGTAAGTTTAAACATGTTTCTGCAGAATTACTAATGTCCTTCGTGGTAAGTGATTCCAAGTGGGCTGAAGCCTTGACTGTGTATCTGGTCCAAACTACAAATCTCTTTACCTGAGTTTCCTCAGAATCATTCAAAGAACTCACAGATTCTGTGCTTTTTGTATTGAAGTACCACTTAAGAGCTGGCAAAATTACACAGTGGGTAAACACTTGCCACCAAGCCCAACTACCTGAGTTCAGTTTCCAGAAGCTGTTTAATGGAAGGAAAGCTAACTCCAGCAAGTTGACCTCCAACTTCCACATATCTGCCATTGTGTGTACATATAAGCACACACAAAATAAAAAAACAACAAAATACTAGGCTAAAATAACACGTTTTGGAAAGAGTAGTACAGCTTTTCTGACCACAGATGTGAACCAAGATCCTGTTTTCATGTTTAGCAGAACATACATCACTAGCTTAGGCAATCGGCTTCAGTTTTGATAGAAAGCATTTTTAAAAAATAACAGTTGCTTTTGGGAAAAAATCAAGTGCTGAAGCTTGCTGAGGCCTTACTAGGTTATTTACGGTGTGTCACAAATCCCTCATCTTGTTTCCTGCTAATGTCAGCGCTAAAAGATTTGTCTTTTGGGAAACAGCACTTACTAAATTTAAGTTAGCTACTGTTGAACTAACTTAATTTTTAATTAGGGAACAACTTATTTCTAAATTGTGATGAGCTAAAGAGATGGCTCAAGAATTGAGAGCATAAACTGCTTTTTCAGAGAATCCAAATCCAGCTCTCAGGACCCATATCAGATGGCTCACAGCCTCCTGTAACTCCTGATCTGGGGGTCCTGATGCCACTGCCTTCCACAGGTACCTACACATACCCACATACCAATACACGCCTAAGTTTTGACATGTGCATATACTTTAGTTCAGTGTGTGTGAGTGTGTGGGTAGGTGGGTGTGGGTGTGTGTGTAGGTGCAGATGCTGGTGGACAGCTTTGGATATCATCCTTAGTAATGCCATCCACTTCAGGGTCTGTCATTGCCCTGGAGCTCCCCAAGTGGCCCAGATTCATTGGCCAAGTAGAGCCAAGGACCCTCATTCTTATGTGTACCCAGCACTGGGGGTGCAGCCCATACCACTGTGCCTGGCATGTTTAACTCATGCCTTCCGTGAGTTTTTACATATGCAAAGCAGGCGGTTTTTACCAGCTCTTTTAACCTGTACGCTTTTGTACACAGCCTTTCTCTGTCCCCCAGGAGCTCTTTGTAACCCTTCCCAGTTAGTACCTGAACCCTGTTCCCTGCCACAGCCACTCTTAATTAGAGTTCTGGGACCAGCACTTAGTTCTGCCCATTGTTCCTTCATCAGTGGAATCATACATATTTTTTTTTTATGACAGGCTTGAGGTTTCTGAGCCTCAACTCTTTTGCGTTCCACATTCCTTTTATTTTTTAACTTGTTTGTCCATTTTTCTATAATGGACACAGGGCAGTTTTTAGCTATTATAACTATAGTTTCATTACCTTTATATAGCTTTAGTGGAGGCAGAGTTTTATTTCTCTTAGAGGTAGAATTGTTGGGTCACAGATAATGATATATGTTTAATATTAAGGAAGAACAGGAAGCTGGGGAGATGATGGCTCAGCAGCTAAGTGTAGAGATATATTATTTATGATTTATTAGAGCTTGCCTGAGGATTCAGAAAGCAAAAGTCAGTCACAAGCCATAGAAGCCAGGCACACACCTTAATCCTAGCATCCAGAAGCAAGGCAGTGCTGTATGAACCTTTAATCCTAGGACTCAGGAGTAAGAGGCAGACGGATCTCTCTGAATTCAAGGCCACCCAGGGATACATGAGATTGAATCAATCTAAAAGAGTAACAGATGCCTTTAATCCCAGCACTAGAGGGTTGTAATAGAAGCAGGTCTTCAGTACTGATGCTATGGTTTCTCAGCTACAAGGTCAGTGATCCTAATTGTTTACTGCTGCCCTTTTACTTTTATAATAAGAAAATAGAAAATGATGTTGTGTTACCTAGATATGCCCATGTTCTTTAAGAGTGGTGACAAACTTGAACCTACTTTATGGTTTAGAACTCTGCAAACAGGTGCTTAATAAGTAGGATTATTATGTGAACACTTGTTGCTTGTCTGTGGCAGCAGACTTGTTCACTCAGTAGCTTTTTCTAATATTTATATATTAATATCTTCCCCAAGACAGAAATAAGCCAAGAAGTTGGATACCCCAGATTTATATATGATTATAGTCATGTGCTGTAGTTTTTGCTTTATTAGGACTATCTGAAATAAATAGAATTTTCTTTGTGAGTGCATAGTGGGCTCTGTAAATGGCTGAGGTGTGACTTAGAATCTCTCATTGTCAGGTTCTGGTTTACACTTAAGGCGCCCGGCGCCTCTGCTGCTTGCCTGCCTGGTGGGCGGCGCCTCTGCTGCTTGCCTCTTGCCCTCCTCATGACTCCCTGCACTTTTGCTCCCTGCTTGTTTTTCTTTCATAGTAGCAGAGAGCAGATTGCTCATCATCTTGCAGCTCTCCGAGGTTCTCTGCTCTTCTTAAAGGATGACTTGCAGACCCCTAAAGTAACAGAAATTCAGTGAATGCAAGATATTCCATGCCAGCTTAGTATGAAATTCTGTGTTTATGAAGACACAAGTCCAGAATGTACTAACATTTTGTGCGTTCCAGAATAAAACACTGGATTTGTTGCCTTCTTTAATGGCTGCAACATTTTTAGTCAAACTGAAATAACCTGCATCCCACCACCACCACCAATTCTAGAAAGCGTCATGAGTTTTGATAAGGTTTGATGACTTGGAGACAAAGGTGGCGTAGGTGGAGGGTTTCAGTTTACAAAGGCTGAAAATAGCTTTGTTTGCTTATCTTTTCTTCAGATTTTGTACCTCAGCTGCTGATATGAAGATTAGACTTTTCACTTCAGATCTTCAAGACAAAAATGAATATAAGGTATATAAGTAAAAATGTTGAAGTGTGTCCATTTTCTTTGCTTTTTGAATTGTACTTATCATGATTTAAAATGACTTTTTAATTTAGGCTGTTGAGTTAGTCAGAAATTCTCTGGAGGAACAAAAGCAGTAGAACGAATATATTTTATGACAGTGGGTTTATTAGATTGACTGCATTTTTAATAGGAGCAGGGTCACCCTGCAGTGGCAAAGGGGCTGGGGATCCTGTTGTTCAGTCAGTGACGTTTGACACCTCAGTAGTCCCAGTGGTCTTGAAGGCCTGGAAGATTCTAGTGAGATCATATGGGCACTTTGTGTCAGCAAAGAACAGGGACAGCGGCGGCAGCAGCCTGGTCACCAGCCGGGAGGGAGGGCAGGCTGAGAGGCAACACTGCTTCTTCCAGGGGCCGCCCTACAGCTGCTGCCAGCCACTCGGGCTAAGGTCCTCTCCCATCATCCCAACGGCCTGTGGCTCGTTAACTCAAGAGCCAGGAAAGCTGGCAGTTATGACTCACCGTGTCTTTAAAGTCCACAATTTAGGGTTCATCTACTCTGTTTTACACCCCAGTAACTAGGTTGTTAGAAGAAGCTAGGTAGTAAATATAACACTTCCGGATGCTACGGACAGCAAAGAAGGGAGGAGTTTACAGATGGGTGCAGTGAGGGCCGAATGAAATAGAACGTCAAGGGACGCATACTGAGAACAGAATAGTGCAGGCAGGGCTACGGAGTGGCGGTGGAGGGAGTATGAGCCTGGCGTGTGCACTGATAATTACAAAAGTAAATTACTGTTCTTCAAGTTTTGCCGGGGGAGTAGGTCCTGGGTGTTCTCACAATACACATAAGTGAAGAAGGTGAACCTAAAAAGTATGGGTTGATTAGCTTTGTTGCTATAATCATTTTACAGTGTGTATGTCCTTAAATATATAATTAATTTAATGAGAATTCAATAAAGGTGGGAGTTTTAAGTAGATGATTTCGCAACTTCAATTTTTCTTTGAACTCTATGTAAAAACTGGACATAGAGGAGCTATGAGGGCAGATGCAGTTAAAAGAGGGCATGGGAGGGGGAGAGGGGAGGAAGAGGAGAGGGGAGGGGGAGGAGGAGGGGAGGAGGGAGACAGGGGAGGAAGGGGAGGAGCAGGGGAGGAGAGAGGGAACTGGGATCGATATGTAAAATAAGAAAAAATAATAAATATATATATTAAAAAAGAAATACATACTAGAAAAGAAAGACTGTTGAATGATTGACTTCTTTCTGAGATAATCTCCTAGGAAAGTGGCTGTATAAATCATACTTTTAAAATGGCAGCTTTCTTAAAATATATTTATAGAAAAAAAGTACTCTGGGCAATGGTGGAGCACGCCTTAAATCCTAGCACTTGGGAGGCAGAAGCAGGTGGAGCTCTGTGAGTTTGAGGCCAGCCTGGTCTACAGAGCGGGTTCCAGGACAGGCTCCAGGCTCCAAAAGCTACAGACAAACCCTGTCTGGAAAACCTTTGAAAAAAACTTACAGTGTGAAAATATTAAATAGAGATACTAGAGACGGTGTCCATGCTCCCTTACTGATCTCTCCCTTCTCCAGGTTTTAGAGGGCCACTCAGATTTCATTAATGACTTGGTGTTCCATCCCAAGGAAGGCAACGAAATTGCAAGTGTAAGTGATGACCACACCTGCAGGTATGCTGTTTGTGTTACAGCCACATTTGTGAATTGTCATTTCATTTTAATAAACATTTTAAAGATTAGGAAATTATAATCTGTATGGGCTCCATGAGATACCGTAAATGAAATTTATTTCTTTAAAATTGTAGATGTGGCACAAATACCCCAAAACCAATAAATTAAGTTTCCATACAATTAACGGACACTTCTCATATGTAAGTGTATTTCCACATATGAGTGGATACCACTGGAGGGCTGAAGTGGGTGTCAGGTGCTCTGGGACTCGAGTGACAGGTGATTGTGAACAGCCCAATCTGACAGCTGGGAGGAAAACTTGGGTTTACTCTTAACTGGGCAACGATCTCTCCAGCCTGTGTTGAAGTGGTTAATGGGCTAAACTTGTTATCTGAAAAATTGATTAATGCAGAACATCCCATTCCTAGTCAGTGCCAGATCACAGCTGTTCCTGAATATTAGGAACAGTGTCATTCTGGAAGAACAAGTCAGATGAACAAGTATTTATTGAACACATTAGTATAGTCAACACTTAGTACTTGGGGATACAAAAGGAATAGACTCAATGCTTACAGTAATTACAAACGACTCAAAAGGAACCTTTTTCTTCTCCTCACCTCTTAACCTCTAAAACTAGTAGCTAAAATTTATGATGAAGGAAAAATCAACTTCGTGCATGAGGCACGTGATATGCTGTTCATTTCTCAGTGAAACATGCAGGGTTAAAGGTCTCGTGTTCTGTTCTGGCTAGGATGGGAGGAGGCTAGGATGTAACTTTTTCCTAAATAAATGAGACTTATTTTAAAATTGTATTGTTTTTAATTTTGTGCATTTGTGGGGTTGGGGTGGGGGGGTGTGCCTACAGAGTGCAGGAAATGGCGTTAGGTACCTGGAACTGGACTTGCAGGATTTGTGAGCCACCTGGTATGGGTGCCGAGAACTGGGTTCAGGTTCTCTGCAGGAACGGTATTGTACTCTTAACCTGGGCCCTCTCTCTAGCCCCTTTCTTGTTTCGGTTTTTGTTTTTGGATGTACAAGTATGATCAAATAACTGGTTGGGCATACTGAATGATGACCTAAGATGTTCAATGAACCAGTAGTGTAGTCTTTCAAGAGAACAAGAGTACTCCACTTCATCTGCGTCCCGAACCAGTTCTTGTCATGGCCAGTCTGTTTACATACATTTGAAAGGCTCTTAGGATCCATTATTAAGATGGAGCTTCTCTCCTCCCTCTTCTCAGTTGGAACCATGAAATATGTGAAATATTTTGAGATAGTCCTTGATGGAAGTAGCAAGGGGAAACTGAGCCTTCTGAAGATAGGCCAATGTAACATTCTTTAAGAGTAATCACCAGGCAGTGGTGGCACACACCTTTAATCCCAGCACATGGGTTGTAGAGGCAGTCGGATCTCTGTGAGTTCAAGGCCAGACTGGTCTACAGAGCTACACAGAGTGATAACCCTGTCTAGAAAAACCAAAAAACAATAACATAAACACATAAGCAATGCCTAAATAATTCCCAGCGTATAGTGAAATCAGAATAATGTAGTATTCATTATTATGGTTAAATAATTCAGGAAATAAATATACTACAAAGTAGATCACATTTGCATACCTTTATTAATTCAGTGAGTGAATACTAATTAAAGATAAAATAGAAGCACACACAATTCTCAGCTTTAATCTTTTAATTCTTCTATGACGAGCAATCCATATCTTTCATCATTAATATTGGAAGTATATTAAAGTTTTTGATACTGTTTGTTTAGTAAATGTCAGTATTTAAAAAAAATAAAACTGGGGTGGTTGGGAGGAGGGATGGGAGGGAGAACTGTGAGTTGTAATGTAAAATGAAATAAAAAATAAGAAAAAAATAAAACTCAGTTCTAATGTTAACTTCAGAGTTTATTTGAAAATCTGACATATTGACATACCCTTTAAAAAAATCCTTGCTTCAAATTATCATACCACTTAGTTGTCTCTACTTTTAAGCTTTACATAGCTGCCAGGCTTTTCTATAGTTCAGGCTGTCATCTAGCAAAAGTTGTACACAACTGTAACTGACAAAAGCTGCCTTGAAGATTTGGTAATTTAATTCCTAGATTTGGGGTTTCTATTCTGAGAGTCCCACCTGTGAACTTTGCCCTAAAACCAGATGTGTTAGCACTAAGTCCTTTTGTCTCACTTTCCTCTTACTGTGTCTTCAGTAAAGAAACACCAGTACTTTCTCTAGTCATCTAATGTGAGTTACTTGGTGATGGATAAGTAAGGGAAATCTTCGTTTTGTTAGCACAACAAATTCAACGAAAAGTGCATTTCTTGTTACCATAGGAGGGCCCATTCTTGTACACAAGGACATTATAAAAATGCCTTCTCATCCTTACAACTGCTTCTCTGCCCTGTTACTTTTGTTCTTTTCTGTTTAATTGTCAGCACCCCGACTCATGTGATGTAGTTGTGTCTTTTAGAAATAGTGTGGTTTGTATTTTGGCTTTAATGGGTACAGATGCATCACTTAATGTCACCCATTCCTTCTTTTGTTTGTTGTTTAAAAACATTTGCTAGCAGAAATGTCCTGAGACACACTTTCTAGCAGGCAGTGAGCTGCCAGCTGAAATAGAGAATAAACAAGTAAAAGGAACAGTGTGTTATACAGAAAATTCCTCTAGAGTTCTCAAACAACGTCTACTACCAATTGTCAATTGAAAAGATCCGTGAAAATATCTATATTTCATATGCCAACACACAATTTGTGGGGTCCTCTAATTAATTAATTAATTATATGACAATTACATTTTAATACCATATGTTAGGAAATGTATCATTATGTTGAAAAGCACTCAGCCTAAAATGAGGCAATGATTTTAGCAAAACAATAGAAAAACTAAAGTATAATTCATAAACTTAGACACAGTTACTTTTGATTCCTCCATGTTCAGCTAAATGTAATTTCTATTTACAGGGTAGTGTTGGAATGGGAAGTACAGTTCAAATTGAGTGAAAACTGCCGTTTTTTTTTGTTTGTTTGTTTGTTTGTTTTTTCCACTTTGAAGATGGTGCTGTATCAGCATATATGCACTTGTCCTTGTCATATAGTTTTTGGCTTTTTGGCCATACTAATTTAACCTGACAGCATTTACACCATACTTTTATAAACTTGCTGATTCTTCGAATGAGTTTGCTTATGTGTACTGAGAATGCTATTTGTTTGTTTTCCCACTGCGGTGCTGGGGATCTTATCTTACCCAAGACCTTAGACTTGCTAGACAAGTGCTCTGCCACAGGGTCGGGAGGTCCTCCTACTCCTTGACTAGAGCTTCTCTAGTGCACCAACAGACTTTTAAAAAACGGGGTTGACAAATAAATTTGGAACTGTTAAGACCTGGATGTCCAGATTTCAATGTCTTCTTATCTGCTGTGGACTATTAGAAAAGCAGAAAGCTGGGAAACCGTCTTAAAATCATGCCTGCCACTCATTTTAATACCCAGCACATGTAGAAAGATTCATTTGATCCTAGGGCAAAGCCCTTTCTCTTAGGTTATTAACCACTGAGTGCCATTGTAGTATTCTTGCTCTTGTGTGTACTTCCTCCCTCCCTCCCCCCACCTCTCATGAATGTCCTCTTGTTCTCTCTCAAGAGAGAGAGAGACACTCAAACTACCATAATAAAGTGTCTGCAGTGGAAACAGCATGGTTTAAAAAGTTAATTCAAAATGTGTCAATAGGTGATGACATTTAACATTTAACATGATGACATTTAAAAAAATGTTTGCTTGTCTCACATACCTAATTTAGATTTTTTAATATTAATTAGTTGCCATCAACTTCGTTTCATTGAGATGGCTTTCTTTTTCATATTTTGTCAGTTTACATAACTAACAGCAAAGTTTTAGGTCTTACAGTGCTTTGCTAGGCAGAGTACTCATAATCCATCTTGGATACATGAGCATACAACAGCTGCACATGACAAGCCTCTAAGAAACAGCTTTCCCAGAGATCTCACAGAGGGACATGGGAAGAACCCTCATCAGGAGTCTGTTGCATATTGTGCCTCTACTATCTCAGTCAGGGTTTCTGTTCGTTGATAGAGCACCACGGCCAGCAGCAACTTGGGGGGTAAAAGCTTAAACTCTCTGCCATACTCATTGGGAAAGTCAGGGTAGGAAGTCAAGTCAAGGGACCTGGAGTGGAGAACAACAGCAGAACCCATGGAGGAACAGTGTTTACTGTCTCACTTTCCATGGATTGCTCAGTCTGCTTTCTTATACAACTCAGAATAGGTGAGCCCCCATCAGTCATTCATAAGAAAACACATTCCCCAAGTGAGGCTTCTCCTCCCAGATGACTCTAGCGTGTGCCAAACTGATAAACAAACAAAACAAAAAACACATAGACCAGGGAAATAACATCAAATGCAGGGGAAGAACAGTGATTTAAGAACTCTGTCTTAGGGCCTGGAGAGATGGCTAGTGGTTAAGAGAACATACTGCCCTTGTAGAGGACAGTTCTTGTAGAGAACAGTTTGCTTCTTAACACCCACTTCAGGGAGCTCAAAACCACCTGTAACTCTAGCTTTAGAGAAATATGATGCTTCTAGCTTCTGCAGGCCCCACACACAATCTAGAATTTAAAAAATAATCCTCTTAGAAAAGAAGTCAATCTTACAAACTAAGATCATCTGGACAACTGCAGCTTTGGACATTCAGACAAGTGATGGTTTTTTATTAGAGCACAAGATGAAAATGTTACCTTTTTACAGTGTGTGTGTATATATTATTTTATACTATATAAAGTGTATTATAGCTAACTTGACAAAAGTCTGTCTTTTAAACTTGGTCTACCAGTCCCTTGTCTGAGCATGTACTAAGCAAACAGTAGGGATTGTGGGAATGGTTGTGTACTGCAAAGAGGTTAGGGGTGTTTTATATGGAAGGCTGTACTCACTAAGGTTAGACATGTACAAGAGTGTTACAGTGACTTTTTGCTAAAAACTTGGGAACATTCTGAATACTCACTGTGGTGTACTGAACTGAGAGATCTGAAATTAGTGGAGAGATTATAGCAGCATAAATTGTGTTAGACATTTTCTTAGAATGCGAGGATCGGTAACAGAAGCCAGACAAGAAGTACACTCCATGTGGCCTTATTTTTATGCTGTTACAGGCCACCCTGTTAGAAGCCATAATAGTGACTTTTTTACCTTTTGTCACAGACTGGGCAAGCACAACTTGAAAAGAGCTCAGGTGGTGTGAGGTGCTGTGGGATTGCTTTAGATTTAACTGCTGTTGCCTGTGGTGTGTGGTGCTGTGGGATTGCTTTAGATTTAACTGCTGTTGCCTGTGAGTGTGTGGTGCTGTGGGATTGCTTTAGATTTAACTGCTGTTCCCTGTGAGTGTATGCTGAGTTCTGTGCACTTAAGGTTCATGTACCATTTGTGTGTGGGATATACTTTGAAAAAAAAGAAAACCCAATGTGACATTATCCGATGGACTTAATGTATTTGCTAGATGAACCATTTGGTAAAGATAGAAAATGAGTTGAGCTCCACAAAGGATTTCAGAGGACTTAATTATGGAATCTATCAAAAAAGGGAAATAAGACGTAACAACTTAAATTGTACCATCTGCAGCTAATTTGGTTAGGATAACTTATTTTAGTCCAATTTGTTGTATTTTGCATACTTAATACTGAGATTATGCAACATTTGGGAATTATTGAATCAGTGTATAATTACAAACCATAAATCATTGCATCCTAGCCCTCTGAAATATAATCCATATGGCCCTCCTCGTGTTTGAGCTAGCTCTTTTTTTGTTGTTTGTTTGTTTAAAGGATCACCAGGTTCTGATGAGGATAAAATACTGCTGAAATTAGGCTAGGATTTGGTTCACTGGACCACAGTATATTTAGTTAATTGACTTATCTTCATAACTATCTCTATTTTTCACCTCTTTTTTCTTCTTTATTTGAAGGGGGAAACACCATGAAAATAATTTGGCTCAATTTATATAATAACCAACAGAAATCAAATTCATTTTAAAAATGAAATCAAAAGTGAGCATGTTTTTTAGTCCACCCTCTAGTGAGGCTCACTGAATTGAGAAAACAAATTTCTATTATTCCAGTAGTGACAAAACATACGCTAGCTCAGTACTTCATTGGGGAAATGGCAATAAGAAGAAAGACTTAGTTTGCCTTAATGTCTCATCTCACTCTAGGTATCAAAGGACAAGAGCTTAAACTCTGGGTGATTTGCATCTTGAGTTAATCAGGAACTGTCTCCTTCATATAGTTAAAATAAATGAAAAGTGTATTTTGGTAACAGAAAAGATATGCTTCTAATATTTAATCAAGTAGGTGATCCTGAAAACATATATGTGCTAGTTTATAAGGGTCTATGATATTTCAGTTTACAAATAAACTTTACCTCCTTTGCATGCCTAAGTTGTTAAAACTCCTTTAGAGCCCTGAAGTAGGAAGTGTATAAACCCTACAGAAAAGGGTGGAGGGTTCTCATGCATGCTTTTGATTTTGGTTATTGGGTAGTGCTGAGGAAGGGACCCACTGAGTTGCACCCCTTAGCTTTGAGTGTGCTCACTTTAGGGCCAGGGTGCTGGGGGTGCTTTGCCACCTCAGTCATCAGACACATGTTTCCTGCCGTGCTAACTCTACTCAGCACAGTTTGACAGTGGCTGGGTGAGAATCGTGAGCTAGCCAAACAGCACAGTTCCTGGGGACAGTGCCATGCCTGAGATTGCTGAGATTCAAAAGCTACTGAGATTTTTAAAAAACCCTATTTGTGAGTAAGCTGATGGTAATTGATAGAAAGAACCTGTGCCTGTTTCTTCAACCCATCTTGCATCTGGTAACTGGTAAGCATGGCCAGCTCAGGGGAGAAAACACTAGCATACTCAGCCAGACCAGAGATTGTAGGAGATGAGGAAGATACGCCGAAAGGTACAGGGAGTAAGGCTTATGAAAAATGGGTATGCACTAAATTTCTGTCACTTCATACTTGCTTCTTTGCATGTTATTTTGGAATGGGAAGGATAGTGTGTAGAGATTGCGCATGTATGCATGTCTTTGTGGGGGTGTTTTTACGCGAGTGTGTGTGTGTGTGTGTGTGTGTGTGTGTGTTTAAGCACCCTTGATAGGAACAATTGCTAACTGAAATGACTTAAGTAGGCATGCATCCTGATTAATGGCCTAGAAACATTGATTTGCTTACAGTGGCTACATAATTAATGTTACTGTGTTAGATGAATTAGAAAATATACTACTACTTTGTTTCCTTAATTGAGCGTGGTGACACTTAGATTCTTTATGCTACTTTGACATTTTCCAACAGCAGTATTTTAGTTTTCTCAAAGATGTTTATACATACAAATGTATGTAATAATCTGTAGTTCATGGCTTTGAATACATTTATCAAAGTTTCATTTGTTTATTTTTTGGTAATGATATATCAAGAGTCTTTAACATCAAACTCTTTTTATTAGGATTTGGAGCTTGGAAGGGAAGCAGACAGCTCATTTTCTTCTTCATTCTCCTGGAATGAGTGTGTGCTGGCACCCTGAGGAAACTTTTAAGGTTAGTAACTATAACTTAGCTTTCCCCTGCCAAGTGTAAAGGATGCACAAGTCTAATACCTATACCTGTAAAGAAAATACCCAATGACTTTCCACCTCAGAAACAAGTTAGCACAAACACTTTCCGGTTAATACAGAGTCAGCACTGTAATGGTTCTTTTAAAATTATTGAACTTTTTGCAGCCATCATTCATATATGCAGAATATATTTTCCTGGCCTTTGGCAGATTACAGCCTCAAAGAATTGGTACTCAATCTAGTTAGCAATATGCAGTTTAAGAAAACAAAAAACAGAAGTTAAATCCATGTTTTTTGAGCCATATTTAAACAAGATGTGTCCATGTCATAAGGCACATTTGTTTTGTATTAGTGGCACCCAGTTCCAGTTCAAACTAAAGTTTCCTCAAATTCTAAGGATACACTGAGTTCTTATTACTGCTGTTTAGCCTCTGCTCTACTCATGGTGAAAACAGGAGCCATTCAACAAGTGTTCTCTTTCACCAGTATGTTTTCCAAATTAACCCCTCCGCGCCTCCTGTAACCACACTCGCTCTTCTGGCACCTGATTTTCATAGGTCTCTAATATCTTCATGCTTTTTTCTGTTCACTGATGTGTCCTCAATTTTGTAACAAAAAGATAGAGTTGATTAATCTAGCCAATCTGCTGGAGTAAAGCTTTTTCTCTTGACAATTATATTATTTAAAGCTATCTCTTATCTTTTATTTCAAAATGTTTGGGCATGTTCCTTTTTTTTTTTTTTTTTTTTTTTTTTTTTTAGCTTTCTCAGAAATTAGAATACAGATTAATGGATTTCATTATGGCAAACAGGTTTTGTTCTTGTTGGTCACTGTCATCTCCTGCCTTCTTGCGGGATTCCTTTCTGTCCTCCGATGCCTCCATCGCTCCCTCACATGTGTTCTGTGGCCTATGTACATGTGTGTACATGTGCTTTCATAAATATGTCTGTCGATTACTGCTACACTCTTCAGAATAGCCAACAAATGGAAATGTCGTGTATGTACACAATTGGACTTTAGTATTCAGCCATGGAGAGAAATGATGGAAGACGAAACCTATGCTAAGTAAATGAGTCAAACTCAAGTTCATGTTCTCTCTCAAATGCAGATCTAGATTTCACCTTGTCTGTGGTTTTATGTGTGGGAGGGTTAGGTCATCAAAGTGCATTTCATCCCTTAGTCCAAATCTGTAATTTCATGTAGTTACCAATTCTATTTCAAGCTACCAGTGGTTATTTTGAATGCATTCGTGGATTTTTTTTTTCCTTCATTCTAAAATGAAGATAATTTTCACATTGCTGATCACTTATTTCTCCCCCGTCCCCACTGGTCACTTATTTTTTGAAACTAGTCCTATTGAATATCTCTCTATATATAGATATAGATACAGATTTCTGTGTATTCTGTCAACTTTCTTTGCATTCTGCTTGTGAATTGTTTTCCCTCACTCTGTAAATAATCAAAAAGCAAACTCCAAGCCATTCAACACACTGAATGTTAGAACTCAGGGTTTCTGATGCCATTTCCCACTCTTTCCATCCCTTACTGGTACTTCACACTTTCAGGGATGTCTTCACCTTTCTATAGTTCTCAGAAAGAACAAGCTTTACAGAAGAGATAAAACATACCTTTGGACACCAACTATTAATGACATGTCTAACATTGCTGACTTTTCTACTATAGTTGATAGCCTGAGAACATGCTTTCATGGGTCTTGTAATTTCTGTAAAATTGAATTTCATATATTGATAACATTAGTTTATTAAACATCTACAATTATTGGACTCTGAGAACAAGGAATTATTTAGGTAGTAACAGCCATTCTTTCTTGATGTAAGAAAAGCACATTATTTACTAGATGCTTTGCACAACAAGCCTAGGACTATTTTTTCCATGCCATTAAAGGTATATTTCATGAACCATCATGGTGTTTCAAACAAGACACAGGCAGTCATTAACAGTATACAACAGTTTTCAAGCTCCCTCCAGATATGAACTATCAAAATTAGAAAGATACAGTGAAATTGAGTAAAGTCTATACTTAAGGTTCTGTGTAGGGAAGGTTAAAGTGAGGATTGCCATTTCTCATTAAGGTTTGTGTATTCGTTGCTCTCCTCGTTGCTACAACAAAAGCCTGTCCAAAGCACCTGAGAAAGAGAGGGCTTTGATTTATTGTTCAAGAAGAAGTTCATCATTTAGGGAAGTCATGATAGCAGGAGGCTGCTGGTCACATTGCTGCTGTGTACAGCAGGCAGGGGGTGATAAATGCTGGTGCTCAACTCACTCCCTTTTAGTGTAGTCCAGGACCCCAGCCCATGGAATGGCGCCACCCAGGGCCAGAGTGGGTCCTCCCACTTCAGCTGGCCTAATCTGGGTGGCTGATCACTCTGAGGTGTGTCTCCCAGGCAGTTCTATGCCCTGTCAATCAGTATTAACCTTCACATCATGTTTGACAACATTTTATAAGCCAACCCTGACATTCAGGAGTTGAAAATGGCAAAAATACCCATCTAAAGATCCACCTTAGTCCTTTTCAGATTGAGTGACCACCAGTAGATTTACAGCTCTGCGCATGCTACAGAGGAACCCGGTGTCTTTTGGTTGAGCAGTGTGCCTGTGAGGCACAGCAAAGCCCGGATCTCCTGCACTGGCTAAGCCAATTCTAAGAGGTCAGACGCCAACAGAACTCTGCCTTTGATAACTGAGTCTATGTTGATGGTGGAGGGAGAAGAAGACATAAAAGTAAATTTGAGTTTTCCCGCATTCCCACTAGTGTGTATGTTCATATCCAGAATCCCTCATCCTGTGGTTCAAGAAAAAGTGTCACAACGAGCAGGAGAGGTGCCCTCCCGCCATACCTCAGTCTGGCTCTGGGAACAGTCTGTCAGCAGCACGTGCTTTCTTCACCCGCAGTGCAGGGTTCTGTGTGCAGCAGTGTAGCTTTAAAGGGAGGAGCTTGCATTCTTTTACAACTTGATTTTAAAATATTTTTCAAATTTTGTAGCCAACAGAAGGCAAATTATCAACAATCCACATGCTTCATTTGCATCTCCAGCGCCGTCGGCCTTCTGTTTCCTCATCTGCAAGCTCTGCAAGGTTGCTCCCTCCCATTCTTGGCAGAATTAGCCTTTTCCTTCAGATACTTTGTAAGCTTGGGACCTGGCTTTGCAAGAGCAAGTTTGGCAGATGGGCATGTGGTTTATCTCTGTGGTGGCCTTATTTCCATTAGCATCTGTGTCAGCTTCTCTTTTAGACATTAGAGAGGTAGGACCTGGGTGGTAAACTTCAGGACACGGTGGTAGCCAGCACTGGTCCATCTTCTAGTTCCTCAGTGGCGATCCTCGCATCTCCAGAAATAAGAGAGCTACCTGTCTGTCTTCTGTGGCTGTTCCTGCTGCCTTCTATCTGTCAATAGAAACTCATGTGTAACATAAATCACCTGTCAAAAGATAACATGATGGCCTTTCATAACTTAGTTAAAGATAGCTTTTCCTATAGTATTAATCTTCTTCTTCCTCCTGACAAAGCTCATACCCTAACATTTAATTTAACTTTTTTTTTGTCTTTCTGTCAATTTCCTCTGTCGTGTTTTTGTATTTGATACTATTTCATAACCTCAAATTTGACCTCTCTCTCTCTCTCTCTCTTTGTGTGTGTGTGTGTGTGTGTGTGTGTATTTATGACATTGAACCTCTTGCCTCTTTCTCAAACTTAAGTAATTAGATGACATGGAGTTCCTTTCTTCCTTCCTGTGTTACAGCTGATGGTTGCAGAAAAGAATGGAACGATCCGGTTTTATGATCTAATGGCCCAACAGGCAATTTTATCTCTTCAGTCAGAGCAGACACCATTAATGTCAGCACACTGGTGCTTGAAAAACACCTTCAAAGTTGGTGCTGTGGCAGGAAATGATTGGATGATTTGGGATATCACGCGGTCCAGGTAGCTATTTAGTGTATCCATCTCTTACATTCCATAAATGTGTGGTTCAGTGGCCATTGGGCCATTCTTGTACTAGGTCTCCATTTGCAATGAAAACAAGTCTCTCCTAAAGAAGGGCAGTAGTTCTGGGAATGTTAGAAAAGAGATAAAACGCTGACCCCGTGGTACCCTAGAGTGACTCTAAGTCATGTTGGTTGTTTCCTGTCTATTGCCAATTGAGTGCTTATTGGAATTTTGCTGCAGCTTAACTTTATTGGACTTCAAAGGGAAAAAAACCTTTAAAACCTTTATTAAAATTTGTCTACTTGAATCTAACACATAATTTGCAAAATGCAAACTCTTGTTTTGTAGTTATCCTCAAGAGACAAGACCTGTTCACATGGATCGAGCACACTTATTTAGGTAATGTACTGGTTTTCAGGCATTGAGACCTGGGTTCCAATCTCCAGCACCGTCCCCCATTGCTGGAGAGTGGAGATGGGTGGGTCCGAGCTCACCACCCTGTGAGGAATGTGAGCATCTTGCTCAGTGAGAGGTCCTGTCTTCAGGCAGTAGGAAGGAGACAAGTGGAAGATACTGGGTGTGTATCTTAGTCTGGTGCCGCATTGCCGAAGGTAAGGAGAGAATGGAGCAGAAGATACTGGGTGTGTATCTTAGTCTGGTGCCGCATTGCCGAAGGTAAGGAGAGAATGGAGCAGAAGATACTGGGTGTGTATCTTAGTCTGGTGCCACATTGCCAAAGGTAAGGAGAGAATGGAGCACCCCCCATGTTTGTCGGGGATTGCTGTGGCTCTTAGGCCGATTATATCTTACCCGCTAGAGTTGGACACCAGCAGAACAGGGCTGAGATTCAGTTGGTGTAGACACAGGACAGAGGAGCTGTTACGCAGTTAATTGTGCCTGATACCAGACACTTACTGCCTTTTTATGCCTTCTTTTCCATACTGACTGTACCAGTCATCTGTCATGTCTCCACTAGTGCTCCTGGGTTAGGGAAATACAGAAATTTCCCTTGAGATACTTTGAAGGCTTGAATACTCTAAGTGGTTATGCCATCCCAAGTGACCTAAACACAAGTGTCTGACATGAATTTAAATGAAATGTCAATAAACGGGGCTGGAGAGATGCCTCGGCAGTTCAGAACACTGGCTGCTCTTCCAGACTGTCTAGGTTTGATCTCAGCATCCACATGACAGATCACAACTGTTTTGCTCTTCAGAATCTCCACACATTGCTGATGCCTTGTGTCTCCCTCCATCTTTAGAGACCGTGTTAACCTTGCATAATTTTATAACGCACTCCAGTGACTCATACACAGCAGGAAAATATTCATAACTAAATAAGCTGGAAGTCTTCATGGAAAGCCATATTAACCAATTTCAAATTATGAAATTACTGCTTTTGCACTGACAAATGTAGCCTGTTTTAGAAAAACTTATAATTGCCTGCAGGACAGTGCTTATTGCCATACTTTCTTATTTCATAGGTGGTCTGCAATTAGTGAAAACTTATTCGCAACCACTGGATATCCTGGCAAAATGGCAAGTCAGTTTCAAATTCATCATTTAGGACACTCTCAGGTAATATGAAAATGTTTCATGGCATATATGGGTAGTTTTTTGTTAAACTAGATTTTTGACTTTTCTATCTATAGATCCCAAATTGCAATTAGTAACTGAAGATACTTATGTCTGCTATGTAAAAAAAAAAAAAAAAAAAAAAAAAAACTGAAAGGATCTTTTTCATATTTTGATCACCAATAGCAACAGATTATTTTTCCACAAAATTAATATAAAAACCATATTTCATCTGTTCTATCTGCATTTTATCCTCTAAGTACATTTTGTTTGCTTGGTTTGTGTAGGCTCAAAGATATTTGGTTCTGTACTCTACCCATTATTCATAGGTGGCTTAGGTTTTTAGTCAAGTCAGGTATAAGTAGATAATGTGTATTTTATCATTATTATGCTTCTACTAAAAACATAGTTTTTCAGTGTTTCTTACTTTGTGTATGAGTGTTTAGCATGCATGCCTGGTGCCTGTGGAAGTCAGAAAAGGACATTGGATCCCCTAGAACTGGGGTTAGGGATGGTTGTGGACAGCCATGTGGAGCGTAGACATTGAGCCCTTTGCCACTGAGCTCTCTCTCTCGTCCCATTTCATACTTATAAAAGTAGTTTAGGGGCTGGCAAAGAGTCCACTGCTTTATAGTTCTTTTTCTGCCCATATATTTGACAGAGGAACCCTGTACTGTCTGTTTGATCTCCTGAGAGTAGCTTTCCTTTTATTGAGTTGAGAATTCACTGTGCTTCTTCAATTCTTCACGTATTTTCAGCCCATCCTCACCGGTTCTGTAGCTGTCGGATCTGGTCTTTCCTGGCATAGAACACTGCCACTGTGTGCAGTTGGAGGAGACCACAAGCTCTTGTTTTGGGTGACCGAAATATGATTTTCCTCTGTAGTTTTGATCCTACACTTTGTATTTTTAATATATATTTTGGAGAAACCCTTATTTTTCTATCAAATATACTGTAAATCTAAATGTCTCAGTTGTCTTTTCTAATAAATAAAATGACAAAAGACTTGAAAAATATGTTCTTGTTGTTCTTTGTGGCACACCAAATGTGTGTGTACATGGGCCAAGTGTTTTGAGCTTAGCTCAAAAGAAAAGATGACTAGGAACACCTTGACAGATATTGTACATCCCAGCCTCTACACTTTGAGGTGTATATACTTTTCCTAATTGTCAGAGATGAAAACATTGGGAACCCAGAAAATTGTTATCTTCAACTTAGGAAGTGATGTAAAAACAAAGTTCTATTTGGGGATCCAGTTTGGGGATATGAGTATGCTATAATTTGGATCTAGAATGGGTTGCCAAGAGTAAATTAGTCCAGAATATAAAACTCATCTAATGAAATGACTATATTGGGATGTTTAAGTATAGTTTGCCAAAATTAGATAGGCAGTATTAACCTAAAAGGGAAAACATGCTGTTTCCAGTTGTGAATTATATATCACTGAACAATAAGACATTTCCTAGAAACGAGAGGGATTCCTTGATGTCTCAGTTGGAATTGAAGTTCACTGTTGCCCTTAGTTATATACAGGTACAGGACGCTTTCCAGCTGCTCGACATGGCACCCTTCCTTAGTCTACTCTATTATGACATGTGTTGCTGTTAGCCTAACACAGAAAACGTAATCCAGGGGGTTGCCATTCGCTCCAGGCCAGCCTGTGCTGCAGAGTCATACCTTGTCAATAATTAAATAGAAAGACAGACAGACTGAAGTGGGAGGAAATGTCCTTGGGGAGTTGTTAGTCATTGCTCTGGTTCTTGATAAATAACTTCGCTTCTGATATTGTGCGTTTCCCGGGTTTAGTTTTCCTGTGTTTAGAAATGTCTGAGGGCTTTCCTTCTTTTGAAATTCGGTTTCCCTCAAGGCGGTTTCACTCACAATCATGGAAAGAAAAAAGCTGTGCTTCTATGTTAAAACTTGTGCTGCTCAGCATTGTTGAGCAGTCAGGATCTCCCAAGCCTGCAGGATGTCAGAGCTAATCCTATTCTTTCTAGATGATGCAGTCACATTCTCCTCGCTTTTGATGATCAGGCTTTTGGGAAATTTCAGTCTCTCTCATGCCAAGACAAAGTCTCACACACTCGAGTTTGTTTATTTTGAGAATCTGTGACTGCATATTGACACTGACTTAGATATGTTCCCATAGCTGCCTTAAATCTCAGTAAAGAAAAAAATGGAAATCTTTTTTGCATGTATGTGACTTGTTTGTTGTTGTTGCTTCTATTGCTTCTAATTTGTCCAGAATCAGACATTATCCCAGAAATGGGAGTTAAAAGACAGCATTTTACCCCAAGCTACTTTTCATGGTTCTGAAAAATAACTATTCTTGGCTATATCCATAATTTTCTATAGTTAAAAGTTAAGTCAACTTGATCCAACCAGTGGTCCCTTTGCTTTAAGCGGAAGTGTGTTTGCAAAGTGGGGATGTCTGTTTGGATTGCTGCATCTTCACATTCCCTTCCTGGAGCTCAGAAGCAGCATCCACCCCAGTGCGTCTTCAACACTGCCTGTGTGCTCAGCAACAGGACATGCACCTTGCTGATTGAAAAACATTACATCTTTAAACATAATTGTGCATTTGAAGAACTGTAACCCTAAGATACGGGCTTTGCTTTGTTTTTATTTTATTAAGGTTAAACTTTTTTTTTTTTAATTTTACATCATTTCCACTTCTTTTTCTCCCTCCAAATGCTCTCGTGCACCCACTTCCCACCCCTGTCAAATTTATGGACTTCTTGTTCGTCCCTAAACACACACAGAACCTCTTAAGGTGGGCTCCTCCCCGAGGAAGACTGTTTCCCACAGTCAGCAACCCTTAGCCCCCTGTAGTTCTTCGTGTGGGGTTGAGGCCTCCTGGCCTTCCATATAAGGCCTGTTGTTGTCCTTATCCAGTTCATGGGAGGCAGTCACGTGGATGAGATGTGGGTGCAGCTTCTGACGTTACCAGGAAACACAATCTCACGGCAAACTCCCGGATCCCCTGGCTCTTATAATCTTCCCACCTGCTCTTCTGTGGTACTCAGCTGAACCTTAGGTGTGGGAGCTGTGTTATAAATGTATCAGTTGGAACTAGACTCCACAACTACGCACCCTGATTGGTTGTGCTTTTCTATCATGGGTCCATCTGTTGCTAAAAGAAGTTTACTTGATGAAGGATGAGAACACTTACCTGTGGGCAGGAGGACAAATATTTAGAATGTAGTTAGGAATTATACTAGTTTAGTAAAGTTTCATTTGTGAGTTCTCACCCAAGGTCCTTGATTTCACTATTCCTGGGTAATTGGCTAGGTGTCCAGTGCTAGTCATGATTTCCCTCTCATTCAGTCTTAAGTCCATTAGAGAGCTGTTGGTTACCAGCAAGGTGCATGTGCCACTTCCGTACCCTTAGGGTTACCATGGCATTCTGGCTGTGGTGGTTCATGGATATCATAGCTGAGTAAGACTGTCCGTTGCTTCCCTCCCTCCTTTGGAAGCTTGCACGGCACCTTCTAGTACCATGAAAGTTCGTCCAAGCACATGTTGTCCTCCACAATAGGGACTTACCTTTCACCTCTGGTGAGCACTAAGAGCAATAGTAATAGCCTACAATGTTTTGATAATCTCCTAGACAACCCTGACCAACAACTCAAAAGAGGGCTTCTGATGCCTAGTAGTGAGGCTTTTCCTAGATAAAGACACAACATTTTTAATTAGCATAGCTTTGTGATGAATATGTATCACCTGTGGCAGTTTGAATGTAATGAGTTCCCTTGAGCTCATAGGGAGCGGCACTGTTAGGAGGCGTGGCTTTGTTGGGTTAGGTGTGGGCTTGTTGAAATAAGTGTGTCACTGTGGGCGGGCTCTGAGGTCTGCTTTGATCAGGCTCAGTGTGATTGATACTCACACCACTTCCTGTTGCCTGTGGGTCAAGATGTAGGACTCAGGGCTCCTTGTCCGGCACCAAACCCGTCTGCATGTACCATGTCACACCCCACTCCAATTAAACGTTTTTCCCTTTATAAGAGCTGCTGTGGTCATGGTGTCTCTTCACAGCACTAGAACCCCTAACTAAGACATTAACTAAGCACAGCAATACAATAAAAATCATTAAGCGATCATCTCATTTTATAAAAGGAAAAATTCATGTTTTATGATGTATTTACTGCCATGATCAACATGAGCAGTTTCCGTTGCACACACGGACACGACAAGGTCCTTATGGAAGCCACAGCATTAGTCTACTTCTGACATTTTCAGCTGGTAGCACAGTTGCCACTCTTGAGTAGGAACAGGTGACATTTTGTCTGGAAACTTCTTTGGGTCAACTTATTTCCAAGTTTGTATTCTGGAGTAATTTTTGACAGAAGACCTTGGAACTCATAACACTTACGTAAGCTTCTAAACTCCATATGAACAACGAAGAGTAAGAAAGAGTAAGGCCATCGGGTTTCTTGACCTTCCCGACAATTTGCATAACTCAATACATTTATTGTTTACAAAATAAGCATTCCTACCGTCTGCATTTAGAATGCTTTATTGAGTCTCTATTTCTGTGTAGTAAAAGACAAAAGCAGCTGGTTTCTTTGCTTAGGAGAGTGGTTAACTAGAAAACTTTGATCTTTCTTATAAACACAGCTGTCATCCTATCATTGAGCAAAATCCAGACAAGATTAGACTGGCCAAAATTAAGGTTAATCTTTGCAACCATCTCAAGTAAGAGCTTTCTAATACTGTTTTAGGAAATCTCTACTTTTGAGACAGTGTACAAAGGAAATAGGTCCCAGACGACCACTAAAGTAAGCCAGAATCAACTAATAATGAATTTGACCACAGTGATAAGAAAGTGGAAAGTAATCAAATGAGTTCATTTTGGTTCATTTCTGTTTAGACTGTAATCTTAAGAAAGTACTTTTCTTAGTTCACATCAAGTTTAAATCAGACCAAAATAAGTTACTTTTTAATGAACTTCGTGTTAATATTTCCTAGGTCTTTCTTTCACTAATCCTAGTGAAAACAAAGTGTTCATTAAAATAGAGCAGATGTATTTTATTACCGTTATTATATTATAGCTTACAATCATGTTTTCAGTAATATTTAGACTCAGGAGTTTTATATGCATTGCCAGTTTTTTACTAGGCTATTCTCCTTAGACTTGAACACTAGTGTCTCAAGATGTCCCTTCATGCATTCTCCCCAAATTACCTATTCCCGAAGAACATCTGTGCAAGAAACCCTCACTGAAATATGTGCAACTCTGTTTATCTACCAAGAGTTTCCTGGTACTTGATCAGCAAGTCATATGTGCATCTGCTCAAAAAGTTCCGTGACTTCCTGGATGTGCCTGACAAATACATTGCACTCGTGTTTGAGGAGCAGTTCTGAAATTGTGACGTGTCATTAATTGGGCCCTTCCTGCATCATACCACATAGACACTACGCTCTCTAAGATGTGTCCTATGAATGTATGATCTCAGCAAGGACTTGGATCATTGCCCCTCACACCTACTAAAGGGAAATAGCTGGGAGAGGAGGAATTTCATATTATCACTATCAAATCTCAGAAATGGCAATGCCTTAGGACCCTGGAATAATAGACGCCTCAAAATCAAATTTGCTTACCTATTTCTAGCAGACATTGAGTTAATGTGTCCTGACATCTGCCACCTCCTGACCCTAAAATGTCTTTATTAAGGGAAGCGAGGTTCCCAATGAGGCCTTTTGCCTTCAGACATGGTGGCGCTTGGAGCCTTATTCAGAAACCTGGAGGAAGTTAAGTCCCTAATGTTAATGCATCCAGGTGGGTCTTCCTCCTTGGTGGCCTGATGTGGTTCTGGATTTACCTCTGGTGCTGAGATGAAAGCCAGGGTACTTTAACCATTCCCACCACAGTTACATGGGAGACCAGGCTTTCTGAAGCACAATAGATAAGGAAAACGAACGGAATGTGGCCTGGAAAATGCAGGGGGAAACACCACGTTAGACTGGAAAGTAATGGGATATTGCTGTGGATTTCCAGATAGA